TGCGAGTCACTGCGTGAGCAGGTGGCGCGCCACCCGGACCGCGCGAATCGCAATCTCCTCGAGCGCCTGCGTGAGCTCGAAGCGAGGACGGAGGAGGCGCGGCCCGCGGCAACCGCGCCGAGAGAGATCCAGGGCGCCGGTTCTGCGGACCCAAGACGTGACGCATGCGTCGTACCGAGGTCCGAGCGTGTCGAGACCGTGTCCTGATGTGATCTGCACGGGCGAGTCACGTCGGCGTCAAAGGAGCGACGTGCGACCTGTCAGAGCTTGATCCCCGATCTCAGCTGCCCTCTGCGCGTCCTGGGTATGTACCTTTGTCGTGCGCCGGAGACGACTCGACGCCGCTGAGATCGGAGATCAAGCTCTGACAGGTCGCACGTCGCTCCTTTGACGCCGACGTGACTCACCCGTGCAGATCACATCAGGACACGGTCTCGACACGCTCGGACCTCGGTACGACGCCTGCGACCCGTCTTGGGTCAGGTGGCACGACGCTCATCGCGCCTACCAGCGCTGCCGTGCAGGTTGCCACGACGAGGTCGAGCACGCTTCTATACGCTCGCCCAGCCTTCCTTTCCATCCCATTAGGCAGCCTGGGAACGGTGGCGGTCAGAGGCAAAGCCTGCGAGGGGTGGTGGAACCACATGTCACGGCTACCGCCGGCTCGACCCCACGATAGCCTCCGGAGGCTGACTTTGAGGCACAATCATCGGACGACGTAGGCGAGTTGAGTCGCGCTCGCGGTAGCCAGATGACCTCTCATACTACTATCATCGGCCATGGCCGCAGGAAGCGCGGGGGATTCCGCTGGGAGCAACACGGAGCTCCGTTGGACGCGTTTTCAAGATTAGCGTGTCAGATCCTGTACCGTGTTTGTTATGACCCCCCCCAATGAGCACACCAGCGAGGGAGGGCGAGACGATCGAGGGGTCCCGTAACATGCGGAATCGACCCTATCCATAAGGGGTCGAAGTAACGACCAAAAGTAACGACCGTCCGCGTCCAGCGAGACCGTGGCGCAAGCTCGATCAGCGTCAACGTGCGCGCGACCTCGTCGACGCGCAGCACGTGCGACTTGTCCGCGAAGAAGCGCTGCCGTGCGATGGGTGATCGCGACTTGCAGCGGGCTCTTGCGCTTTTCGACCGGGTCGTCGGCCCGACCCCGCTCGTACGCTGCGCGAGCAACCGCGGCAGTCGCCAGCAGGATCTCGTGCCCGCGCGCCGCGCGAGCGACGGCAGCGGCGGTCGCCACCGTGCCATCGTGCCCGCGCGCGCTCCCGGCGCGCCGCCCGGCGGCCACCGCGGGCGCCTAGCCCAAGAGGGCATTTTGCCTTCGGGCGTAGGCCTCTTCTCCCCTGCCAAGCGAGGCGGCGCGCGACGGCAACATGCCGACGGCGAGGACAACGCGCGCGACGTAGCGTCGCCGTTGATGCGCGCCGAACGCGGCGGCGAGCGCGCGGCTCTCGCGCGCCTAACGATGGCCGAGCCCCCGGCGAGCGCGGCGTCGCGATCGCGCCGCGCCGCGCCCGACGGCGTCGACCCGTCGTTCGCGTCACTCGTCGAGGCGGAGATGCTCTTGACTCCGCAGCCCGACGCCGCCGACGACGACGCAGCGGCGGTGCGTTGGGATGACGTCGGCGGGCTCGAGCCGACGAAGCAGCTACTCACCGAGGCGGCGATCCTGCCGATGCTCATCCCCGACTTCTTCACGGGCGTGCGTGCGCCGTGGCGCGGCGTGCTGCTCTTCGGGCCGCCGGGCACGGGCAAGACGCTGCTCGCGCGCGCGGTCGCGTCGCAGGCGCGCGCCGCCTTCTTCAGCGTGAGCCCGGCGAGCCTGCTCTCCAAGTTTGTCGGCGAGTCGGAGAAGGTGGCGCGCGCGCTCTTCTGCTGCGCGCGCGCGCGTGCGCCCGCCGTCGTCTTCTTCGACGAGGTCGACGCGCTGCTCGCGACGCGCGGCGGCGCGGGCGAGCACGATGCGTCGCGCCGGCTCAAGACGGAACTGCTCACGCAGATGGACGGCGTGCCGACAAGAGGCGGCGGTGCGCCGCGCGTGCTCACGCTCGCGACGAGCAACCGGCCGTGGGACCTCGACGACGCGATGCGGCGGCGGCTCGAGCGGCGGATCTACGTACCGCCACCCGACGCGCGCAGCCGCGAGGCGATGCTGCGCATCCACACCGCCGGCCTCCGGCTGCATGCTGACGTGCGGCTCGCTACGCTCGCCGCGCACCTCGACGGCTACTCGGGCGCCGACGTGCAGCTCGTCTGCCGCGACGCGGCGCTCATGACGATGCGCACGGCGATCGCGGGCAAGAGCCCCGACGACATCGTCGCGCTGCAGGCGCGCGGCGCGCTCGACGGCGAGCTCACGCACGACGACTTTATTCGCGCGGCGGCGACGACGCTGCCGTCGATCGCGCCCGAGCATCTCCGGCGCTACGAGGCGTGGAACGCGGAGTTCGGGTGTGATCTAAGCGCCGAGCCGACACCGTGAACTGCTCGGACGCCGCCGTGCGCCGCGCCGACGCCGCCGTGCGCCGCGCCGACTCCGTGCGCCGCGCCGACGCCGTGCGCCGCGCCGACGCCGTGCGCCGCGCCGACGACGCCCGAGGCGACGACGCCGCCCGAGGCGGAGCCGGAGGCCGCGCTGGTCGCCGCGGACGCGCCGGAAGCCGCGCCGCCCTCTTCAGCATAGCAAATCCTGAGGGTCTAATGACGTTCGAAACGCGAGGCTACAACGCGGACTCTCCCCTCGGCCCGACGATCCGCGTCAAAATTTGGGGATCTGCTCAAGGTCGCGAGGGTCGCTCCCCTTGCCCCACACATTGTGTGTGTGGAGAAATTCACCTCACCTTACCCTTACGTTCCGATGAAAAAAATAGCTCCCCCCATTTTTTTCGTAAATTCTCAGATCCAGAAATTTCCTGGAAATATCCGTGTTCCTATAGTTGCTATAGTTCTTGTACATAGAAATCTCATTGGCGCGTCGCTCGTGTGGTCGGCCCCGCGTGAGCATGTTCTCCGTGCTGTGATTGGGCCAGGGTGGTCTCTTGTGTCATGTGTGCGTCTGTTGTATACAATCTACCAACGATCTCCGTTGTACACCGTACGACGTCCCCCTTTCGCGACACAAAAATAGCGTAGCACCGTGCCCTAGAACGCCTGCTTGATCTGCCGCCTGACCTCGCGGTCCTGCTCTCTGCGCCGGATGGTCTCGCGCTTGTCCTGCAGCTTCTTCCCCCTCGCCACGGCGATCTTGAGCTTGAGGCACGAGCGCGCGTTGAAGTACGCCGAGAGCGGCACCACCGTCAGGCCGCCTCGCGCGACGGCCTGCGCGCGCGGGGGGGCTGGAGAGGGTGGGGAGGGAGGGAGGGAGAGACGACAAGTGCAGTCGCGGGGTGGCGGGGCTGGAGGGGGTGGGAAGAGAGGGGGAGAGACAGGACAGGTGTCAGTCGCGGGGTGGCGGGGCTGGAGGGGGTGGGAAGAGAGGGGGAGAGACAGGACAGGTGCAGAGGGGCGGAGGGGCGGAGAGACGCGGAGAGGGGGAGAGGCAAACAGGGGAGGAGCGGCGGGGGAGAGAGGAGGCGAGGCGAGTATGCAGTGGGGTAGGGGGGTAGGGGGTGACTCTCCAACCCCTCGTGCTGCCCTACCCTACCCCCCAACCATCTCGAATCCAGCGGTGCGGCGGCCGCCTGCCCGATCTTGCGGATTTCGCGTTTGTGCAGCAGCAACCTAGCTCGGCGCAACGGCGTTGGGTTTGGCCAGGGCTGGTCTAACGGCGTTGGGTTTGGCCAGGGCTGGTCTACTCCAGATCGGGCGCTCGTGCATCGGCGGCTTCTCCTCCTCCTCGGCTGTCTCTCGGCCATCTCTCGGCTGTCTATCGGCTGTCTCTCGGCCATCTCTCGGCTTGTCTCTCGGCCATCTCTCGGCTTGTCTCTCGGCTTGTCTCTCGGCCATCTCTCGGCTGTCTCTCGGCTGTCTCTCGGCTTGTCTCTCGGCTGTCTCTCGGCTTGTCTCTCGGCTGTCTCTCGGCTTGTCTCTCGGCTGTCTCTCGGCCATCTCTCGGCTGTCTCTCAGCCATCTCTCGGCTGTCTCTCGGCTGTCTCTCGGCTGTACCTCGGCTGTACCTCGGCTATATCTCGGCTATATCTCGCGGCTCCTTCTCCGGCGTCCCTCGTCGTGGTTGAAGTAGCCGCCAGTGGTGCCTGCAGCCGAGAGGTAGCCGAGGTGTAGCCGAGATACAGCCGAGGTCCAGCCGAGATCTGGCTGACGGCTCGCAACTGCCCGGCTGTCCAGTTGACATGCCGCCGCACCGCACGAGCACACGGACACACACACACACACACACACACACACACACACACACACACACACACGCGCGCGCGCGCGCGCGCGCGCGCGCGCACACACACACACACACACACACACACACACACAGCCAGCCAGATAGGCCGAGACCGAGAGAGGGAGAGAGCAGGCGAGCGAGCGAGCACGAGAGGAGGAGAGAGGAAGCGCGCCCGCTTAGGGGGGGGGGGGGGGGGGCGACGGAGCGCGCGAGAGCACACGCACCGTGCTGCGCAATGTTGACATTCTCTAGCCAACACTCGCCCGCCTTGACAGAGCAAAAGCCGTCGCGCAGGTTCATCTTCCCGGCGCGGCAAGACTTGACCTGCGGCGATGCCGCGTAGCCACACGGCGCCGTCAGCTGGTGCAGCGGCTCTCTCCGCTCGCTCGAGGCGTTAGGTGGTGAGGCGGCGGCGGCGGTGGCGTCGGCGGCGGCGGCGGTGGCGTCGGCGGCGGCGGTCAGTCAGCCGTACTCACCGCGGCCCGGCTGTCGCAATGTGGTTGGTGCAAGAGCACGCGGGAGGGCGATCGCGCGTGTGCGTGCTGCCGCACCTCTGTCCCCACGAGGGCGATGCCAGCCTCGTACTCGTCCAAGATCTCAAACTCTCGCCGCGCCACGCGGTTCACGGCCACCGTCTTGGAGGTCCGGGCGCCGCCGGCCGCGAGCAGCGGCGGCGGTGATGTGCGTAGCGCGGGAGCGAGGAGAGCGGCGGCGAGGCGCAGAGGCGCGGTGGGCGGCGAGAGGCCGAGCGCGAGAGCCGCGAACATGAACCGCAAAAAAATAACACAGCCAGCCTCAGCGGAACCGCCGCAAGCGGCGTGGCGTGGAGCGGTTGCGCATCCCTCCGGGGGCCCCTCTGCGCCGGGGAGGCGTTGTTGGAGGCTAGGACGAAAGCGTCCGTCGCCCTTTTCAAACTCGGGGCCCACTCCGCTACGCTCCGACCCGAATTTGGAGGGCCTGAAAGTTTAAGGTGTTGCTGCGCAAAAGGGGTCGGACACAGGGCGCAGCTCATGCTAAGAGCTAGAAGGGGAGATGGAGAGAACAACCACCCTGTCTGTTGGAGAGTGTGAACTCAAACCTACTTCCTGACCGTAGCCTGACCGTCCTTGTGTAACCGTGTCTCATGTTTGGTTTGTCCTGCCGCGCACATTGTCATGCTGTTGGGTTTCTCCTGCCGCGCAGATTGTCATTGACTTGTATCCGACTTGGTGGCTGTGGTGATGTAGCGATGGTGTGGGTCTCTAGTGACCTATACAGCTCCTCCGTGTTCCGTCTCCTGACATGGTACCGACCGGTGAGTGCACGGAGTGAGCAGTGCGGCACTGAGGCCGACATGAGAGCTGGTGCGGCACACAAGCGAGATGTGTTGCCGCACAGCATTTCCGGCTTACGCTCGATACGTCGGCTGGCACCATGGGCACCTGCGCGAGCCGTGGTGATTGGCTGGGCACAGAGGCTCGGCGCACGGTGGCACAGCGGCCACCGACTGCTTGGCTCGGAGGCTGAGCAGAATGAGAACAACCGCAACATCAACTTGGGTGCTTGCGGATCTTCTGCGACAGAGCGCATCTCCGCCAGCACTGCGGCTGTGTGGACACGAGTATCCCCTCTTGCTTCTCCTTACCGGTCCGTTCTCCTCGCCTACGGACCACCATCGCAGCTGCTGTCTCCGCTACCAGCTCTCGGGCTGCTGCAACGGCAGTTACCGATAAGCGGGCAGACACCCGAGGGTGGGCGACGGCTAGCACGACACTCCTCTCCTTAAAATCCCTGTGTGGTGGCGCGGCGTGCCGTCCTCCATGTGTGTTTTCTTTCTTTCTTTATCCCCGCCCTTGCGATCTTTGTGCAGGGTTCTTTGTGAGTGTGGCGCTCCCCTCCGCTGCACTGGAACGAAGCGGAAAATAAAAAAAATTTAAACAAAACAACTCTCTCTCACAGCAGTCAGCAGACAGGCTCGATAAAAAAAGAAGTTTCCGAAAAAATTATTCTGAATCCAGATGGCGATCCGCCTCCACTCTTGTTGCGCCCGCAAATGCAAATGAAAGTACTGACTCTGATACACAGCATGTAAATTATGCCGGCGAGCACGCCGACGAGCCTCTCGTCGCTCGCCTGAGGGGACATGTCCCGGACATGTCATGGCCAAGTCATGGAAGGGGCACACCGACCGGCCCCTCGTCGCTAGCCTGCCTCGCCTCGCACTCGCTGCCGCACACGCACAGCCGGAAGAGGCGCAGCGCGCCCGCCGCCGTCGCCGACGCTGTCGCCGCCAGAGGCACTGGCCCCGGAGGAGGAGGAGGAGGAGGAGGAGGAGGTGGCTGGCCGTGCTGGCCGTGCTGGCCGTGCTGGCCGTGCTGCACGTGCCCGACTGCACACGCGGAGAGGAGGGCGAGGGCCGCACGGGCACCTGTCCACAGCTGCAGGTGTGAGGAGACGCCGTCCTCCCGTGGAGGCGAGGGGCGAGGGACGCACGCAGCACCGCCAGCGCAGCAGAAGGCCTCGAGCGGAGAGCGCCGCGTGCCGACGAGCGCGACGGGCGGCTTGCCCTTCCCTCCGCCTCCGCCTCCGCCTCCTCCGCCTCCGCCTCCGCCTCCTCCGCCGCCTCCTCCGCCTCCGCCGCCGCCGCCTCCGCCTCCGCCTCCGCCGCCCCTCATAAAGGCTGGTAGGGGCGTGGCGGCGCCGAGCACGAACAGCCCACAGGGGCGGAGGGAGAGGGCTGGGACGACCCCGCACGCCGCCGCACCCTCCTCGAGCGAGCGGGCGCGCGACGCGGAGAGCGCCGCGCAGGCGCCGCTCACCGCCGCAGACCCAGCTGCGGCGGCGGGCAGCAGCAGCAGCTCGGCGAGCTGAGCGCCAGACAGCGGGGCGCAGGTCGACTCGTGCGCCGTCACCCCGGGAGGGAGCGGCCCCCCGACGCTCCAGTGGCGGAGGTCCTTGGTCGGAGCGGGGAAGACGAACCGCTGCCGCAGCGCCTCCACCCCATCCACACGCACGCACAGCCGAGGCACCGACCCCGACCCGTCGCCGCCGCCGCCGCCGCCGCCGCCGCCGCCGCCGCCGCTCCCGCCGCTTCACGCGGAGGAGAGCGAGGCTCGCCACCGCTCTCAAAGGGCCAGAAGAAGCGGCGCGCCGGCTGGCTCACCCAGTGCCACTCGCCGGCCGACAGAGGCGCAGGCACCTGCGCCGACGCCGCCCCGCCCTTAGGGCTCATCGCGACGACCGTGAGCAAGCCTCCTCGCAACGACACCTCGACGCCGTGGCCGGCGGTGGCGAGGAAGGAGCACACGCTCTGCGGCGCCGCCCCGTCGGCGCCTTCGTCGCTGCGCCGCCAACTCCCACGGCCGTCGCCGCTGTCGCCGCCGCCGCCGCCGCCGCCGCCGCCGGTCCCGGTGTGCCGATTGGACGAGGGCGAGCCGCTCGAAGAGCGAGGAGGCCTCGGCGAGGGCGGCACGTCGAGCCGCAGCCAGAACCAGATTACAAAGGCGTCGCGGCCAAAGCACTCGCCCTGCAGCGGCGGCTGCGGAGCCGGCGGGTGCACGCCGTTGAAGGCAAAGAACCGGCGCGGCGTGCCGAGCGGCTCACTGGCTGTGCGGGAGATGGCCTGAGTCAGGGCGTGCAGCAGGGCGCCCTCGCCAGTCGCCGTGTGCAGCGCGAGCAGCCGGCGTAGCTGGTTCGGGTGTAGCGAGTGAGCAGCGAGCACCGCAAAGAGACGCATCGCTGCCGCCGCCCGCTCGCCACCCGCGCCGCCGCCGGACGGAGCACACTCCGCCTCGAGAACACCAAGCGTGTCATCGAGGAGCCCGTCGTCAGTGGCCTGGAGCGTGCTCCATAGGGAGGCTCTTAGGAGGTCCCGCTGGCGCCGGAGCGAGGAGGTGGAATGCATCGGCGACCCGCCAGCGGTCGCTGCAAAGAAAAGAATTTTAAAACTTCAGTCGGAGTATGTGCAAAGAAAAAGAAAACACAGCTAGCGCACAGCCCGCACAGCGGACATGCGAATTAAGATATGCGAATCTGACAAATTGATCAATGAAATCTTGCGGAATGCGATGGGGCCCCGGGGTTTGAGCATCAGCAATGTAAACACCTGAATAATATTCCTCTGGGCCGGCGCGGGGGCCCCAGAGGGTGTCCATGCGGGGGGGAGATGGGGTCCCATGGCCCGCCGCAGGCGCCGATTTTTTGGAGTTTTTTCTTTTTTCGCGATTTTTTACTTGTTTTCATGGGAATTCGGCGTACTTGCGGCCAAGGGCGGCTCTCACGGTCGTGCGTGCGAATCGGCCGTCAATGCCAGCGCGAGGCATGCCTCGCCCCGAGGCAGCAGAAGGCCTAACTAAACAAATTGGAGGAGCGTAAAACGTCTCGCATAAGTCTGATAAATCGAAACGCAAGTCGGGGGGCGGCGGCGGCGGGGGGGGGGGGGGTGAGATCGCAGGTTACCCGCTTTGACAGAGGGAACTTCAATCCGTCCTCACCCGAGCGAGGTCTCGGCTGGGTCAATGGCACGCGTGCTGGTTGCGAAAGCAAGCGCAGGTGGTACTCGAGTCGTTCCCAGATTCTTTTCTCCGGGCTGGACATCTTGACCTTCGAATTCTTTTCGCCGCTAATGGGCACCAACCTAGCAATCTTCGAACGCGATCGACTACTCAGATCCCCATGTTCGCTCTGCTCACCTCCAGCCCCGCGCTCGTCGTCGTCTCGCCGTCGCTCGCGGTCCAGCGCGGCTTCGCTGCCGCGGCGCCCGTCGCCCTTCCGCCGACTCCACGCTCACCTCCTTCTCGGAGACGCTCGCTGGCGGTGCACCTTCCCACCTCCGGCGCATCGCCCGGCCTCGACCCGCCGCTCACCGTTTCTCTCTCCACCCTAGTCGTCGCCGTGGACGGCGGCACCATCGGCCTCGACGTCTCCTTTGGCGCCTTCCTCGCCGTCATCCTCGGCCTGTTCATCCCGGTCGTTTTTCTTGTGACGCTGTACATCCAGTCAGAGGCGCAGGGCACCGCGACGTCATTCCGCGAGGTGGCAGCCCCCTTCCCTCGCTGTCGCACCATGCCCAGCTACTCGCCCTCGCCACAACACGCCGCCCCAGTCGCACGCCCGCTGCAACACCCCGCTGCGCCCACCGCCTCAACGCCAGTCGCCACCCGGCTGCCCAGGCGGACTCGCTCGGCGGCAAGCTCTTCGACGACCCCGCCGACTACTAGAACACCGACCGTCGTCGTCGTACATTCTGTGTGTTCGACGAGCGAAGAGCGGGGCGCGCTACATTAATGTCCCGAATAAAACAAGAAAAGCCTCGTTGTCCTGCTGAGCTAAACCAGTGTGGAGTTCCAGTGCACAGAGGCGCGGTGCCCTTGCCGTAGTCCCGCTCCTCCTCCGCCGCCGGCCGCGCCTCACAGCTCGGCCCTGAGCGTGCCTCCCTCTCCCTCGGCGCGGAGGCTTGCCGCGTTGTCGAGGTGCCCGCGTATGGCGCTCGAGAAGCTACGGTTGCGAAAACACTAGAGTGAGAGGGTGGTAGCCTCGACGCCGTCCCCGCGCCGCCACGGCGCCTGTCGCGCCCCCCCGCCACTGCGTCACGCGCGGTTCTGCCGTCGGCGTCGGTCCTGCTCGGGTCGGCGCCCGCCCTCAGAAGAGAGAGCACCACCTTTGCCTGGCCCGCTCGCGCCGCGAGGTGTAGCGGCGTCGCCCCCGCGCCGTCGGCGGCGTTCAAGTCGGCGCCGGCCTTTCGGGAGCGAAGCGGCGCAGAGCGCGCGGTGAGAAGGGAGGAGTGGGAGAATGGAGCCGAGAAGCCGGCGAGGCGTCAGGGGAGGGTGGCGCACGCCTTGATCAGCAGCTCGACGAGCGCGGGATGCCCGCGCTCGGCGGCCACATGCAAAGGCGTCAGTCCCCTTGCGCCGAGCCCCCTGGCGGAGGGCATGGCCGCGGAGGAGGCGGGCGCGCGCTTGCCAGGCCTTCCGCAGACAGCCTCTCGGGCAGACTGAGGGTCGAGTAGAGGGGGCGTTCTGCAGTTAAGGGGAAACCCGGTACACGGAGCCCTCTCGGAGACCCGTGTTTACTTTACGGCCCTTTCCCTGCGAACGCGCACCCCCCAGGGCTAGGGCTCTCTTGCCCGCAACCCGATGCCGATCATCCGGCCCGCTGGGTGCGCTTCTCAGCTCCCCGGCCCTGGAAGCCTGGATGTGAGGCTAATGACTGCACTCCAAGTGCTCCAAGTTTCCGACGCGCGCCCGTGCCCGCAAGCGTCGCTTCTGGACGCGAGGGGCAGGCGTTCCCAAGGGGACGATCCTGTGCCTCGGCTGTGCCTCGGCAGGGTGCTCGACGCGCACGATGAGTAGGACGACGCGGAGGGTGGGCGCCGGGATTGGGAGGAGGACCCGCTCGGGTTCGACACCAACCCGATGCTGCTTGTGGCAGCATACTCGTGCCTGTGGCGCTGCTGATACCCGCCTGCCCCGCAGGCTGAAGCAGCAGCTGGCCAAACTGGCGGTGGCAACCCAAGAGGAGGTGTCGCAGACCCTCTACGTGTGGGACGGCGACACAATCGCGCTCGGCGATCTCTTGCCTGCGCGGATGCCCGACGGCCGCTTCCCGCTACTGTGCAACCTCCTAGATGTACCCATCACCAACACTCGCCCTCACATCTGCGCTTGTGCCTCCTCAACCATCCTGGTCCTCACGGGCAGGTGGGGCACGCCGCTGGACTCGCCCGCCCACTTTGAAAAGAAAGGGGGCGACCTCTTGCTCCCGCCCGGCTACCGCGCCTCGACCGAGGCGCTGCTTGGCGTGACGACGGTGCCTAACGTCTCGTACGTCACACAATGGCAGGTCTGGCACAAGCCGTTCGTGCGCGAGATGCTTCGCGAGATTGAGGAGCGGGCCGAGAGTGCCAACCAAGTCTGGCCAGAGGCGATCCACGACGCCGCCGTCGCCAGCGGGCATGAGCTGGGCTTCTCCGAGTACACGCTTTACGCCACCTGGCTGCTGCAGCGCCACCCGTCGCAGGTTCAGCTCGTCTCGTCGAGCGAATTCAAATGGCTTCGCGACCCGCCCTCCGGCGTGCTTGACAACGAGGGGGAGTGTTGTCCCTCGGACGAAAGCCTCTGCCAGGTGCGCAGCGCCGGATGCCGGCCCCCTCTATAGCACCCTCAGTCCCTGGCGCCAAGCCACTGGCCCCCGTCGCCTCAGTGAGGCTCCCGCGCGCCGGTTGCGTAGGCGCGTCTCGGTGGCTTCCGCTCTGTGTCGTGGGAGTGCTTGCACGCCTCGGCGGTTCGCAGCCCGGCCAAGACCGCCGAACGCCGTCGGCTCGACCTCTCGCCCGGCCCGGCGCCGCCGCCTTCGATGCCCCCGTCCACATGCGGCGTCAGCTCTTGCACCGAGGCCGTCCTCAACACCCTCGCGCCCGCGGTGTTCTCGGACACGCTGTGGGGGAGACAGCCCCAGTTCCGTTGCGGCGCCCGCATCGCGTGGCTGGTTGAGAATCTCAACATGACCGAGGGGGAGGCTTGCCGAAAGGTCGCCCGCCGGGAGTACCCCCAGGAGTGCGGCGGGTGCAGCCCCGGTGGCTGGCCGAAGCCGTGAACCCGCGGTGTCTCGAGGCACGAGGGCGGCGTGTGTGGCCAGCTCGCACGTCTCGGTGTGTGCATCCTGCACCTGTCTCGGTGTCAGAACGGTGTGGAGTTGCGGAGGGTTGGCGTTGCCCCCCCCCTGCCTGGCCCTGCCGGCCAGGAGCCTGCCCCACCTCTAATCTTTAATCTCTCTCTGTGCGTGTGTGTGCGCGGTGTACACTGAAACTGTTCGCACTCTGTGTCTAGGCGAGAGAGAAGGTTTCTTTACTCTCCTTAAATTTAGATAGACGGGTACAGCTACAGGCCGGCTGTGCCCGCATGCCGCGCCTCACCGCAGCTTGTAGATGAGGAGGATCACGGCGACCACGAAGAGCGCGAGGTACAACATGTGCCTCGAGTCCTTCGAGGACGCGAGCTTGCCCAGCCTGCGGTGTGGAGGTAAGGTGGGTAAGGGTGTCGCGCCAGTCCGTGGGACTCGAGATATGGCGAGATATGGCGAGATATGGCGAGATATTCCGCATCTAGGGTGCCCCGCCGCGCCATGGTCCCGCTGAGCAGCGAGCCGGCCGAGTCGAAGCTGCGGGCAGGGAGAGCAGAGGGGGGTGAGCAGGCAAATGCGCCGCCAGCTGCGGACGTGCGCGCGTGCGAGAGGCGGGCGGGCAGACAGGTGCAGGTGCAGGTACGGGTGGGGAGGCGGTCGGCGGCTGTGGAGGCGTCTGCGTGATTGCCCCCCTCTGGTCGCCGGTCCTCGGGGCAGGCAGGTGGGGAGGCGGGGTGGGGAGGCAGACAGTACAGGTGGGGAGGCAGGTGGGGAGGTAGATAGGAATAGGTGGGAGGCAGGTGGGGAGGCAGACAGTACAGGTACAGGTGGGGAGGCAGACAGGAACAGGTGGGCAGGCGGGGTGGGTTGCGGCTGCCAGCCCTCCCTGTGCCTGGTCTTGCGAGGCCTGTGAGTCGCTCCAGTGTGGGCACCGCCACCGCCATCGGTCTTGCGTCCACCCATACACCGCGCCGGTGTCCCAGCGCGGTGGTCTGAGTGTGCTTCGCCTTGGCGGCGGCTAGGTAGGGAGAGGGCCTACCTGTCCTCCCACCTGTCCCTCCCAGGTAGGGGCGCCCAGCCGGTGGTCTGAGTGTGCCCCGCCTCTCGATCTGTCTCTCCTCCGCGCACCGGTCATCAAGCCCGTCGAGCATCTTGTTGTCCTCGCGCACGTGATCGCCGATCTGGTGGGAGGGAGGAGTGCGTGAACGAGCCGGTGCGGTGGCAGCGAAGGTGGGCCACGGCCGTAAGTTCTGAGCCGCGGGAGAACAGAGTGCAGAGACGCGCCGGTGGCGGCAGTGAGCAGCGGCAGAGTGGGCTGTGGCGCAGGCGCACCTGGACGGCGATGCCGCGCAGCGCACTCACCTTCCCGGCGAGCAGCCCGATCTGGTCGTCGTTCTCCTGCTCCATGTAGTACTCGCTGGACGAGGCGCCGCCCTGCGGAGTGCACGGCGGCGGCACCGGCTTTCAGCGTGGCTGGAGCGGCGCTGGCTGTCGCGGCCTGCGCTGGCGCGAGCCCCGTCGCTCACGCGACTGTGGCGGGAGGGCGGGTAGGGAAGCACCACCTTGGCGGCGGCTCGCCCTCTCATGGCGAACGCGGCGAGGGACGCCGATGTTGTGGCGGCGCCGGCGTAGCAGAGCAATAAAAAGAATTCTTCTTTGCGCGAGGAAGAAAGAATTCTTAAAATACAAGCCTCTCTCACAGCACACTGGCACGACAAGGGCGCGGACTGGCGCGGACTGGCACACTCACCGGCTCACCGCCGGAGCCGCCTAAGCGACTCCGTTAAGAACGGCAATGCATTCCGCACCGTGCACAATGCCGCTCTCCCCGCACGCTAGCTCGTTCACCGTCTGCCACGCCACGGCGGTGTGGAGGACGACAGACAAGCGCTGCATCTGCAGCCCGTGCCAGTTCTTGGTGGTCCATGTGACCTCGTCCAGGTGCTGAGCGTGCGAAAGTTTGTTGCTCAGCTGGTTCGCCGCCTCCCTCAGGGTGCTGCGGACCTCCTTTCCAAAGCCTCCGAAAAGAATTTAAACAATAGAGCTCTCTCTCACAGCAGATAAAAAGAATAAACGAAACAGCTGGCACGATACGATTCACGCGACAGGCGAGGCGCGGGCGACGGCTTCTGCAGAAGCCGTCGCCCGCACCACAGGAGCCCGACCCGAGCAACCCCGCCCCAACCCGACCCGACCCGATCCAACCCGTCCCGCCCCGCCCCGCCCCCCCCCACCGGACTAACCCGCGAGCTGCTCCCGGCTCCGCCCCCCGCCCAACCCCCAATAAAAAGAATTTTTAGGCGAGGTGGATTCTCCACGGCGCTGCGGTGTATCTGCGCGCCCATGGCGCGTTCAGGGGTGCGCCTGAGGCGTGTAGACTGCGGGGCGCCGCGATAGCGCGGCGCCGACGATTGTGTCGCTCACTGTCACACCGTCGACACGGTCACAGTGTGTGTGCAGTGCGTCCACTCCGGCGACCGTGACGCCGTCGGTTCTCGCCTATATACCGGCTAGTGCCTAGTGTGGAGCTCTCAGTGTGATTGCGTGTTGTACTAGTGATGCTGCACTAGGCGGCCCGTTTTTAGCAAAAAGCAGATGCCACATCGCGTGTGGTCGTGGAGACGAGGAGAGAGAGTGAGGACGAGAGTGGGAAGACCGCGAGGTGGCGTGAAGATCGCTGCGAGAATGGGCGAGAAACTGCGAAGAGAGATCGGAAGAAGCCCAAGGGTGGGAGACGGCTAGCACCACACTCCTCTGCTTAGAAGCCGGTGAACGAATCCTCCTAGAATTCCTTCCCTTTTCTCTAAGCTGGGGAAGCTTTCCCAAGAGAGCAGCCTCCGATGCTGTTTGTTTGGGCGCCCCGACGGCGTTTTGGGCCCACAATGCTCAATGCCCGAGCGAGTTTGGACCCAACGGGTTCATACTGACCCCCCAAACAAAGTCACTCACTCGTTAGACAACCCCAGCCGACTACCTTAACATCCCTGTGTGGTGGCGGCGTGACCGGACTTTCTTCGGAGTGGGAGTGGTGTGACTGTCTGTGTGCTCCTGTGGTGCGGGCGACGGCTTCTGAGGAAGCCGTCGCCCGCGCCTCGCCTGTCGCGTGAATCGTGTCGTGCGACCGCCTTTGGTTGTAAAATTATTCCGAGGAAGGCCGAGAAAACATTATTCCGAACGCGCTGCGTGGCGCAAGGCTAAGGAATTTGTACGTCCTCGTTGCTGCACACCGATCTCATGTTTGGCTCTTCTATGGCTGCCTTCTTGGCTGCCTTCTGGCTGCTCGCCTCGATGCTTCTCAACATCGACACCACCCCAAACCTTTTCCACGCGGCGCTGACCCTCTTTATGCTTGCAACCTCGTATTTCCTGTCGTCGTACCGCTCCATGCAGACCGAACTTGACGCGGCAAGGACGGATGCGGCGGAAGAACGCGTGTCCATGCAGGCAGAGCTTGACGCAGCAAGGACGGATGCGGCGGGCATGCAGGCCGAGCTTGACGCGGCAAGGACGGATGCGGCGGAAGAACGCGTGTCCATGCAGGCAGAGCTTGACGCGGCAAGGACGGATGCGGCGGGCATGCAGGCCGAGCTTGACGCGGCAAGGACGGATGCGGCGGGCATGCAGGCCGAGCTTGACGCGGCAAGGACGGATGCGGCGGGCATGCAGGCCGAGCTTGACGCGGCAAGGACGGAGCTCGATAAGACGGAGCTCGATAAGCTGCGCTGGCGGGACCTCGCGAATGATATGAAGAACAGGCTATACCGCGCAATGTACGGAAGCAGCAGCGAATCTTGGCCACCACACCGGGAGCTGTTGATAAGCTAGGATACGCAGCATACGAACCTTGGAGTCGTGCATACTTTCGAGTCCGTCTATGGGAGTGTGGAGTGCCCCCGAGTTTATTTTTAAATTGGGAGTGTGGACCTGGGGGGGACGGTGTGTGTGAACAGCGTCTGACTCTCAGTGCAGGATTTACATACACATATGTGAGGCCGCCGGGGCTCGCCTATACCGGCTAGTGTGGAGCTCTGCAGTGTGGTTGCGTGTTGTACTAGTGATGCTGCACTAGGCGGCCTGTTTTTAGCAAAAAGCAGATACCACATCGCGCGTGGTCATCGAAAAACCGCATGTTCGCCCGTCTTGGACCCTCTTCGTACGGCTCCAAAAACCGCTCCTCAACGACGACTACGCGGCCCGGCGGTCGATCTGCGCCTTCTCAGCGGTGGAGGGGACGTGGGCGGTACGTGCGGACCGCGTGGTGCTGCGATGGCTTGACGAGTGCGACTCCCAGCGTCGACTCTGCGACCCCACGGAGCCCCTGCTGCTCCGGGGGGTGAAGGGGACATATGCTGATGATCCCGGCCCGATTGGTTCGCTCAGAAAGCTTCTGGGCGGTCGTTAAGGTTCGCTCCCCGCACACCGGCCCCGGAATAAGATACATCATAAAAGCTTGTCAGCCCTCAGCCGAAGCTGGGATCGGTCCCGTAGCCGAGTTCAGAGAGCCCGCGCCGATGAGTTCGACGCGGTCGGGGGCCTTGAGAGAGAGATTTTTAGCAATACCAAACAACTTTTGTTTGTTTGCCTTGATGGACAGCGTCTCGAAACACAGAAAGCACATATCCTCGCCGATTTCGAGTCCGTCTATGGGTGTGTGTGAACAGTGTGCTTCTGACTGTCGTTGCTGTCTCTCTCCCTTCTCGATTGTGCGTCTTGGGTCCGAGGTTGTGTTTTTTCTGTGAACAGCGTCGAGAACAATGCTCGCTGACCGCCCCTCCCGCGCACTGCACATAACAGGCACACCACGAGAGCCACTGTCACACAACGAGAACAGAAAGAACTGCGGACCTGCACGGCGCCTTCCTCCTCCCACGTGAGAATGCTCTCTTCCCTCCTTCCCTCCTCGCTCGCTTTCCTCGCCGAGTCGGACTTGACCATCGGCATCAAGCACACCTCGGCGTACGGGTTCCGGCGAGAGCAGCTCGACCGGCTCCTCCGCTCCATCCGGCGGCGGTACGCGACGGCCGAGGTCATCGTGGCCGACGACGGCTGCAAGGCGGACCGGACAGCCATCCGCACGCACAACGTGACGCTCGTCTGCACCGAGGCGGGCAGCGGCCTGAGCCTCGGCCGCAACACGATCGTACGGCGCGCTTCCACAGAGTTTGTGCTCCTGCTCGACGACGACGTGGTCTTTTCCGAGGCCACCGACCTCGCCGCGCTGCACGACGCGCTGGTGCGCGACCCAGGCGCGGCGCTCGCGGGCGGCTGCTACGACGACCTCGTACGCGGCGACGCGGACTGCTTCAACCTCGCCTTCAGCGTGACCGGCGGCGGCACGGCGGTGGCGGCGCGCTTCGCCACGCTGCAGGCGCAGGGCGGCGGGTGCGGCGTGGTGGACGCCACCCACAACTTTTTCCTCGCTCGGCGTTCCGCCCTCGTGCAGCACGGGTGGGACGCGCGCCAAAAGGTGATGGAGCACGAGACCTTCTTCTACGCGCTCTGGCTGCACGGCCAGCGTGTGCTCGCCTGCCCGGCGGTCCGCGTGCAGCACAATACGTCGCGCAGCCTCGCGTATGTCTCCTCCTCGCTGCGCTTTGGCCGGATGGCGTACTTCCTGCAGTACCTGTGCAAGGTCGGCAACTGAGTACAGCCTCGCCACTCACGCGGTACCCGGAATGCACTGCACGAGATCGTTTTAACTCTGTTCCCTTGTTTCCCTTGGCGTGCACCCAGAAGCCTGATCCATGACTCATCATTTAGGATTCCCAGTCGAGTCGCTAAAGATATGTGATGCCGGCGGGCTGCATTTCTTTTTTTTTTTTTTTCTCT